TTAGCGGCATCGAAAAGTATAAGCAACTGTAAACAAAACTGGGTTACAGGAGCGCATTCGGGGTTTGTTGCGACTAATTGAAACTACAATTTGAATTTTAAAATATAATATTACAAATTTTTTATAAAGCATTGCATATAACTACGAAGAAACAATGTCTACATTAAATTTATTCTGTATATAATATATTCTTGTATTTTTCATTATTATTTGTTTAAAAAAGTACTTTACAATATATAGGCAATTTATTTGACTACAAATTAATTGTTCATCCTTGATTCCTTTAAGACATTCGAAATGAGAGTTTTTGAATTACCAAAATTACATTCATCATTAAATGCATATTCATTCAGCTACCAATTTGCATTTGCTTTACAAGTTGAAAGGTTATTTAAATCGTTCTTCCAAACTTTGTACACATATACATTAACAAAATGTCTTGCCTAAGCTATGGGCCCAATTGCGCGACTTGCCTGCGATCCGCTCCTGTGCGGCCGCATGCGAAATTCCGCAAAAGACGCGGCCCTCATCACTCACAGCTCACTCGCGTCGGTTAGTCATCGATGACGTTTCGCGCGGCAGACACAGACCCTAGACCGACTGACGGACGGACAGATAAATCGACTGCCGATCTACCAGGCGCAGTGCGTTCCAATCGGGGCCGATATATTGTAATTGAATGAAAAGCATTTTTTTGCTTAATTTGTTAAGATCGTGCGTGTCAAATTAAAGTAGAAATATTCGCGGAACGAAAACGTGATCGGGCTTATGTTTTTCTGTTGTTGTTGTTACTGCTGCTGCAATTGTTATTGTGCTATGTACAAGTTTCTATACCGTAAAATCGTAAACAAATCCAAAACCAAGGTGAGTGTGCGCCAACTGAGTCACAATATCGACTAGTTTCTTATCACAGAACGAATTAGTGAATGAATAAATAAATACATACATATGCGAGCAAGTGCCAAGTGCCGCTATGAAAACCAATCGCAATTGTTGAGCAGGTTAAGAAATACACACATCGAGCCTTATCAATGCGATAAAAATATGTGTGCACATGTTGAATCTATTAATAAAAATACCTTGAAACAAAATAAATAATTTCGAACTGCTCTAAACAAATGATATATTTTAAACTGATATAATATCTTTAACTAAAATGAAGTGACTGGTACTTAATGTGAATTATGTTAAGATAAATATGCTTTAATATTAAGAATTTCCATATTACTATACTTTACCTTAAACTCACAGGTAGTATGGCGTTACCTGCATTTTATGTCCACTAATCCCCTTCATACGCTCTGAATGCCCGATCGTAAATTGAAATTCGCGCAGTTTTCCGACCAACTGCTCGGAAATTTCCATCTTGGCTTATTACGCATAATTTTGGGTTCCATTTCTTGGATATTTATCGCAGCTACCTGACTATGGTAATCGACTCCTCGCACCGCTGACCCTTCGTCGCTGATCCCCTCTCTCTCTCGCTCTTTCTCTCTCTTACTCTGCATACCTGTGCTACCATTTACCGCAATGCATAAATAATCGTATCCCTCCTTGACTGCCGGCTCGCCTTGCTAGTGAAGGGTTTTTCATTTCAATTTTTCGGCAATTAGCCGAGTTCAGATTTCGGGTTAAGTTGGGCTACTTTTTGTGTTTTTTTTTTTTGCCTTCTTTTGGCTTGCGGTCTGTCCAACCCTCTTTTTTGTGCATTTTTTGTCTCGTGCTTTGGAGATTTGTTTGCTTATGATACCCGCATATCATTCGCAGTCGTGTTGCCAAGTTTTGTGTTGTTAATGGAGATGAAAGAGTTGAAAAGAAAGAAATAAATATCTGAAATCTAGCACATTTTTAATTACTTTAAGCTCATGTCTATTTATAACACATCTTTAGTTGTCTTTTAAAAAATATACGTTTCTTTTTACTGAACTTTCCTTTTTAAGCAACTGAAAGACTAGTCATATTAAACATTATTATCATATTAAGAACGCTAATCAATACAAAATGATTGGTAATACTATTTAGCTGGTATTTAGTCTAATGGCAGAAAGAAAGCTAAATGTTCATCACTGTTGGGCAGAACTATTATTTCGCCGCCTAGAAGTATGCTCTATTATTTGTACAATCCGTAAGCATAAAATGTAAATAAGCACAACCGATCCTTACCACATTGGAAAAAGTGAAACTGTTATTGAGAGATAAGTAGAAAAAATAGGCATTGATTAAGTTAATATAGATTTGAACACTCTTGGACGGACAGTTGCCGCCTAACGCGGTCGGGCTAACACATAAACTGTATATTTTCTTAAAATAATCTGAGAGAAAATGTCTGCCTTATAGGAGTGTCCGTTGTGCGAGTTTTCACTGTACATATTTCTGTCATAATCATCCGCTCAAGTAAACTGTCCGCCTTACGGGGGTGGCCTAACCTATAAATTATGCATATTAATAAAATCATCTAAGAGAACAACTCCCCTTAATAGGGGAGAATTTTTATCTGTACATGATTAGATATTGATATGATTAGCCATAGTGATTAAGCCACTTTTTTATAATACTTCTGTATATGCCATTTGATGGAAGTCCCTAAGCTTTCTAGTCATGTATTTATTAGGCTATTTAAAATATTGAAATTAATACTTTTCAAAATGTGCTCTGCTATGATTCTTCTGATATGAGGAATATATTTCTTATGTATTTTTGCTGATGATTTAATGCCGACTTCCGTTTCCATGCATGTTGTTATCTGCCATGAAATTCCTCAAATTAATTTAATATTTGCAATTCAATTTGCGCAGATGCTTCGTATGAATCATTTTCAAATGTCGCCTATCACAATTAGAAGCGAGTAGTCATGCACTTGTGCATACTCTGAGACCTTCTAAAAAAGAGAAGAAACTGGTAGATCCATCGGAAAATTATTGATTTGGTGACTGTAAGACTGTAAAATGGACACTTGTGATTGTCAAACTGTGATACTGTGGTATATTCCAAGTTCCAAGTGTCTAGCTTCGAATGTAAATAATCGTTGTGAATATACAGACGGACAGCAAGACGAACATTGCGTGATTTCAATATACTCTCTTTTCACTTTCCGAACGGAGCGTAAGAAGGGCAATTGGTTGCGCCCGTATATTAGCTGAGTAATGATCATGATCAAAGGCTTTTTCTCTTACGCTTCCGTCTCTCTTCTCTCATTGTTAATTTTGCTTGGCAGCAGCTGATAAGATAAGGTGGCTTAGATTTTTGCGCGCACTCTTTCTCTCTCTCTCTCTCACACACACAACTGCTCGACGTCTGTTCGTTTGCATGTCTAATGCCTTATCTCACGAAACGCTGCGTATCACGTTGCCAGACGATGATGGACTGTCTGTCACTCTGCCGCTCGCAGAATATTGATAAACCTTTTGGCAACACAAGTTTATCAATAATTTAATGCGCTTATAAAAGTGTTCAACTAAGAACTGGCTCGCTCTTTCGCAGGTTCCATTGAACTTTCGCCATTTTGTTGTATTGTTTGCGCGCCTTAGTCATCATTTGATCCGGATTTTGCGAGTGTCACAGCAGCTCACTCTCTTTTGCATGCTCTTCATTAGCGGCTGCTCTTTAAATTCCTTACGCGAAATTGCAAGGTTTTGTTTGTTCTACTTCATTAAGTTGTTGTTATACTTTACTGTCGTGCACTTGCCAAGCTTTTAAATTATGATTTATGTGGACAGTAACAACAACAACAAGAACAACAAAGAGCTTGAGTGCTAAAACTTATTGAAAGCGCACTTAAAGTGCAAATTTGTACTTTGATTTATGGCGTCTGCTTTGAGGTTATAACCGACGACGGCGAGTGGCAACAATGGCCGTTTCCATCTACATCTCCATGTTCCGCCACCCGCCTGCTGCCAGCTCCTGGCAGCTTGTTGTTCTTCTGGCCAACACACAATGGCAAACTAATCGAAGTGGCCAGGCGACGCAAATGTGACCAGCATTTGCAGTTTATGGTGTCTGCATGCAAATGACTGCACTTATGTACGTGTTTCAATTCCACGCGTTCCAAGTATTTGTAAGCTGACCCCTGTCTGAAGTTGGTTTAAAAGCTAAAGGTAATTTAAGAAAAAATACAATTTTATACCAATATCACGGATAACTCTAGATCGGTGTTAATTGTGTTCCTTTGAAATATCTTCAATTTGATTCAAATCTTTCGTTTGTTTAATTACATAATAAGGTATTTGATGCTCTGAAATTTCGTTTCATTACTAAAAGAATACATTTATTACACACTTTCTTTAATATATTTATAATAACTTTTTCTAGTCAGTTTGTCCTCAGTCCTTAAGCGTTTGAATATGTGCATGCTGCGTTCTCTTAGTTAAAAGACACTTGTTGTGAGCGGCAAAGTCAGCTGTCGGCAAAGAGCCAACAAATGCTCTTTGGCGATGCTCTTGCCAGCGAAGAGCGTAGAATTCACTCTTCATTCAAGTCTAACAGCACTTCAACAGTACATGTTGAGCATAACAGTTCATTTACAGTTCAATTTGAGTACAACAGCAAGCTAACAGCTCATCAACAGCTATTGAGCAATTACATTACCGAAAGCTGTTAGACCTTACCTCGCGAAGCACTTGTTGTTGTTGCCCAGGCGCATTAACAGTCGAGAATCCAAACAAAATGTCAACGTAACGGACGAAAGAAGTCGGCATCGTGCGGCGCTCAAAACAGAAAACTAAAATTAATTTTCGTCTTATTTTCGTGCGCGTGCGAAAGATTCCCGCATTTTGTCGAAGTGCCAAAGTAAAAAAAGATAAAAACAAAAGACTCAGTGAGCCCGGCGCGCGATATTGTTTATTTTTAGTATTTATAAAACAACAACAAAAAAGTGTCACCAAATTTCAAAAGAATTAGTGCAAAAAAAAATTAAAATAAAAGAAGAGTGAAACTAAATTGTATAAATATTTATAAATAAATTCGTTTATTTATGTGAGTTTGCCTTGTTTATGCCGCCGCATGCAAACATTTCAAAGTGTTGAAAACAAAAATTTGCCAAGCAAAGTTAACTGATAAGAAGCTGTCTTATCAAAAAGAAAGAATTCGTGCAAAAGCTTAAAAGCTAAAAAGAATTTCTTAAGCTGAATGTGAGAAAAGTGTGCAAAATAATCAAATAAAATATAATAATAATTAATACCCGCAATACCTGGATCTAGCATGTAAATATTCCACAAAAAAGATATAATATATATGTATATTGTAATATTTTCTTGTCAGCAATTTACAAGTACAAAAACGCGTCACTTTTAACTGATATAATAAATACATATGAAAAATGCTTGAGGCAAGGCCGAAATTCCCCCAATTAGCCCAGGCAGCTGCACATATTTATACACTCGTATTTACCTTTGTGCTTAATCATAGAACCGATAAACAAATGCGCGTCGTTGTGACGTCAGTTTCATGTTTCCGCTTTATTGACTCTTTGTTGTAGTTTTTATTGGGTTTGCCAATTATTGTCAGTTTGAATATGGTTATTATACGAGATCTCACATTGATGCCAGCCGGGGGTTTATTTTTTTCATATTTATTTCATGTTACTTTTTGTTAAAGTTTGCCATCTGAGTAATAAACATTTATGGACACGCGTTGCGATTTTGTGGCAGGCAAAGGAATATTTTTTTGAGAGAAATTAACTTTAAGTTAAGCACATGGCCTTTAAACAAATGTGAATGGAATGTCTGGAATGGAATAGCATCGATGCCAAAGTTGTTTACCAAAAAAGTTGAATGACTGAACTTTTAAGCAACTTTTTTTTAGATAATATTTCATCTGACTCATATCATTATTAGGCACAGCTAAAACAAACAGCTACCCAAATACGTATGCACTTCTTATCACTTACACGTTAAATAAAAAACAATCAATTTTCTTTTTACGTGTTTAATATAAATAAACTGCCGGCGTAGATAATAATGCAGCAGTGAATCGAATTTTATTTGAACTCTGACAGCAACGCCCAGTGCTACAAAATTATTTGGCAAAATGCAAAAAAAGGGACACGAAAAATCATTATAGAAAAGGTCAGGATACGGCCCAGCGAGCAGTCAGATGAAGGTTAGTTGGGAGACCGCATGACGACCCCCGCCAATATAAGTTAAAGCCATGCCAAGCCGTTTGCCAACAGCACTTTTGCCATTTTCCCAATAGGCCAAAAGTTTGCCAAAAATAAATTCACAACAAATTTACTGCGCCAAAACAAATGACGGCTGCACCAGTTGTACAACTGGTTACCAGACTTCTAAATATATGTGCGTCTATATATGTATATATATCTATATCTGTGTACACGAGTAGTTTATCTGACGCGCACACCATTCAAGTGGGTGGCGAACCCTATCCGTGTCCTGTTCTGAAAAACAGAATCAATCGAAATTTGCGTTCCCAGTTCCAAGAAGTTTCACATACCCAAAAGAAGGTTGGAAATGCGTGCGATGAAAATGTTAATCGTTATGATTGGAATACGTGGAATGAAAGCTGAACTAGTTAGACTTTCTGTGTTAGGATTAAGCGTGACATTTATATAGCCCAACTTGATCATATAATATAATAATCCTGTTCTGGAAAAAGGAATCAATCGAAATTTGCGTTCTCAATTCCAAGAAGTTTCACATACGCAAAAGAAGGTGGAAAATACGTGGGATGGAAATGTTAACGATTATTGAATGGAATACGGGGAATAAAAGCTGTATTAGAAAACTTTCTGTGTTAGGATTAAGCGAGACATTTATATAACCCAACTTGATCATATAATATAATAATCCTGTTCTGAAAAACAGAATCAATCGAAATTTGCGTTCCTAATTCCAAGAAGTTTCACATACGCAACAGAAGGTGGGAAATGCGTGGGATGAAAATGTGAACGATTATTGAAGGGAATACGGGGAATAAAAGCTGTATTAGAAAACTTTCTGTGTTAGGATTCAGCGTGACATTATAACCAACTTGATCATATAATATAATAATAAGAGTGTTATTTTCGACTATTTCGACTTATATGTGCTCTCCCTTTCACTTACCACAAAAAGTGAAATTGAAATCTCACAGTTTCTTGGCGTATTCACAAGTGAGCCCTCGGGTCGTCTAGTTTGTCTGTCTCGCTGAAGGAACAAGCCACAACAATTGTCATGGGGTGGCGACCTTTAGTGCTGGCATTTTTATCAAGTGTGCCACAAGCAATTGAAAACTGGGCGTGGATAAGCTCCTGCAAAAGCCAAGCAGGCCGGCAATCCACCTGCTGCGCGTCTTGTCGCGACTTTTTCTGCATATTTTAAGCGCGCCTGCCAATGAAACATGCCAAAAACACCGACAACTACAAGCGGCTCGTCGGGTTTGAGGCGTGTGTTTGGGGCATCAATTGGTCGGACGTTGAGTGCTGCCAACTTTTTGTTCTCTTGTGCCAAGAATGCAAATGGCGCGCACTGCCAACTTTGCCGACATTCGCGCGGTTCTGGGCTACTTTACCGTTTCACTCGGTTGCAAGTATTTTTGAGTTTTCGCGCTTTCCCCGAAACAGGAGAAAAGTACAAAAAATCAATAGCTGCCACTTGGTGACACTGGAATTATGCGTTGCTCCTTTGTCTGGCCACGAATTCCATTTGCGGCATCGCGGAGTCGCGCTGGCAACCGCGATTGCATGCAGCTCTTGTGGCTCTCGAGAGTGCTTCGTATCATTTGATTAAAACTACACTCAAATTGTGTGCTATAAATTGAACGTGGCTTGTGCATTGAATTGAGGTCTGCCCATAAAATGCAACGTAATGCATAGATGATTAACTACTTGCAATTTCAATATATTGCTCTAGTGCACCCAAGTAGCCTTCCTTTACGAGAAGCTAAACATAAGCATACTTGAAGAATTTGTTAAGCTTAAAAATGTTCCCAGTTAAATTCAATAAAACTTTGCTAATATAGGCGTTCAAATTTGACTGTTTCCTAAACAATCTCAAGATTTTTCTGAGCTCTAGAAATTCAGAATAGTTTTCATAAATGTTAAACATTTTTTCGACTTTGCAAATTTAATTATATGTATGTTATGATTGAGATATTGATTGGTTTGGGATTTAGACTAAGTTTTATAAAACCCCTACATACAGGCACTTGATAGCCTTATAATATTATGAATAGCTCTTATATATTCATTCTGAGTATGACATTGAGTTCCAGAGCCAAATTTACTATCCACTTAAGCTTGTTGTCAAGCTTGATATTGTTTGGCCTTACTCTAGTGAACCTCTCAAAATTTACCAGGCATCTTATCTGCCTGTTAAATACTTTACTGCCAAATCTATTTGTGTTGTTGACACTTTTGAATGCATTGCAAATATGGCAACAATGACAAAAAACGGCCAACAAATTAGCACTTCCAAAGCGACCCTGTCAACTTTTTTGAAGAAAAAAAAGTGCTGCCAACTTGTCGCCATTATGAGGTGAATGTTGCTTAGTGGAAACGCGGCATTTGGCACAAAACCATTTGGAATGGAACATATGTGCCGTAATTACTAGTATACGCTGTTTCTTGCCATTGTGTTGCACGCCCAACAAACGGCTAATGATGATTAGTCAATATATCCATAAGAAAAGTCAACAAATGCGTGACAGCGTCGCGCCACGCTGGGAGTCAAAGGGCGGCGACTGGGATACAATAACCAAATGCAATAAGTTAAGCGAGTAGAGTGAGAGACAAAGAAGAAGCCAGCACAATTTGCGGTTTATTAACTGGGTATAATAACCTCTGGCGATGCCGATGTCAACGGACAGCAGCAGCAGCAGCAGAAGCCACTAAAACAACATCAAAGTGCGATCCGTTTCTCTCGTTTTTCTCATCATCAACTTGAATGAATGCAGTCCAGCGAGCTGGAGAAGCTGCTCGTATGCCTGGAAAGAAGGGGAGGATTTGCAATGCTCGATTGGCTGCACATTGTGTCACCGTCACCCAAGAAGTGACAGAGCGGTCGGGGATTTGACCCAGCGGCGGATGCGTTCATTAAGTTTACAGTTGCCGTGCAAGAATTTTTATGCAATTGGTCAGCTTTTGCCTGGGGGTCGCCAGCTAAAAGCTATAGATACAAATATATCTGCATCTATATGTCGGCTTAATTGTGCCTGTGTTCAAGTTATGCGGAAATTAATGCATAAAGTGCAGCTCCAGCGCTAGCAACGCTTTTTGGGTGCGCCCAGCAACAACTACAACCACAACAGCAACAACAACAACTCGCATTAATTGTCAACAAACATGCGCAACGCGTGCCCCATGCGGCAGCAGCGTTTTGTGTCGGGTCGTTGCATGCGCTAAAAATAATTGCATTCGGCCATTACAATTTTTGCTGGCCTCCGGTGTGTGAAATGCATTTGCCAAATGCTGCATTAGCTAAGCGACCCCATGCACGACATTGTTGTTGTTAAAGCGCGTGCGGTCAACTCGATTTAAAGTTGTTCGCGAGGGGTGGCGTGTGCGCGCGATTATAATCGCTTGCAGGTGCGAAAACTAGACACTGTCCACTGTCGCCAGGTAACCGCAGACATGACATTCACTGGCTCTCTGGCCCCGTCAAGGGGGGAGGGGGTGGTTTAACAATAGCGCATATATGTCTATAATTATAGTGGGTTTTTTTCTTACAACCCTTTCAATATGTTTTTCATTCACAGCTGTTCGTTATCAATCTTGTTTCTATGCCGCCGTTCCCTGTACAGTTGTGTCCATATTTTATTGTATTTCATTTTATTTCCCTTGTCTGTTGCAACTTTTCAGCTTTGCTTGGGATTAATGCAATTTTGCTTTAGTTTTAGCTCTGAACTTTTTGCTCTTTCACATACGAAATTCGCTTTAGAAAAGTTTTCATTTCAAATGTTTTTCTCATTTCAATTTCTATGCGAGATTTGTTTAAAATTAGAGTTGAAAAAAACATACTACAAATGTTTATACGAACATATGATAGACAACATTAAAAAATTTACCTTTTATACAATTTTGTATATAATTTTTACACATATTCACTTTGTTCCATATCTGTTTTGTATTTCTGTGCGCATGTTTCATTCCGCTTGTTCCATTATTATTTCTTCATATCTGGTGGGGCACGTGTCTTTAGTCAAGTTCCTATCAAAGTTAACAATCACTTTAACATGTTCAACGTGACTTCGTGTAGTGCAGAGTTTG